TGAAGTACAGGTCTCGCGGGTTGTAGCGGTAGGTTTTGCACCTAGAAAATTTAGTGTACTTCAGGCTATACCTTCGTCGTCTTAAGCCTCAAGTGTTGAAGATGCGATCGACTGGTTGGGTAACAAGCCGGCTATGATCGTGTGAAATGGCTTCATCGTAGATCGATTAGTTTCTGAGATATAGCCGGAAATGTAAAAGTGCAAAACCTACCGCTTAATCTCGCGAGACCTGTACCTGTAACCCCACGATGGAGCATCAAAGTAAACATGTAGCCAATAGGTATAATATAATGATAAACAAACGTCTGCATTTTGTTAAACGGTTACCAATATAAGTCTTAACATTTTGACATTAATACATTATGTTACAACCGTCTTGTGAAACACTCACACAATAGCGAGAAAGCTTCAAAAATCCACGTACGTTCTATAAACTCTTGCAGTGGGACACGACCCGCGGGCGACAGCAGCCAAACAGTAAACAAACAAACAAACAGCACATCAAAGATTTTAGAGACAATCCGTGGGCGAATAACTGCAGGACTCGTCCAAGGATCGAGCCTTGGGGCACTCCGCAATCCAAGCATTGTGAACAGCGACAGTCCGCCTGCTATCACAGCCAACTCTATCGCTCTATCATAAGATTATATATGCTCCTCGATGATATTAAACTCTGAACTAGGAGAAGGTACTGATAGACTTAGAAGATACACTTTTTTGGCATAATGCCATGATCTAAGCAGGCAATAAATTATCGGGAAATAATCATGGAATTTTTTTGTTTGGGTGATTTGTTTAAATTATTTTATGTTTGAAACGCAGGTATTCATTGATAAAAAGCTGTTATATTTCGGCATCCAAAAGGTGTTGTGTTTCACATACCACAGCAATGCGCAATGCGACATAGCTATCCACTTGGGGAGCCGTTGTGCGCCATTTCGTCAATCCATCATTCTGAAATTACTCGGACACTTGGAATCTTCCAAATGACGGCTATCGTTAAGGATCCGTGCCCAGTTCCACTGTGGCAGTGACCATTGCCTACCTTCATTGAAACGCTTCACGCATGCCATCTACCGCTAACACAGCGAAGCTTTGCAGTGCCCTCTGCACCGTGTGCATGCGTTGCAAGTTAGCCCACATGTGTTCTCAGTTACAATATAATTCCGAGACCTCTGCGCCATAAAAAGTGAACGGGTCATTTGTACTTGAGCCGGATATCAGGTAGAGGGATAAACGTTTCATCGGAGTTAAATTGGTGAGCACTTAATCGAAATGTCGAGTGTTATGCATAATTGGCTTTCGAAAATAATAAAAGGAACTACCTAATTGAATGGTGGCATTTACTCCTTTAATCGATTAGTGTTATAATCTTTTGATCGCCAAGAATCGAGACGGCGTAGATCTAAGATGAGGATAAGTTGAATTATAAGCATATAGGTACATAGGACATTTACGCATTTACATACATGCATCAAGTGACGGAGCCAATATCCTCACATCAACAAACTTTTATTTTTGAAACGTGTATGTTCATTAGTGTTGTCAATTTCAGAAAACGTATGTCCAAAGTCCGTCCAATGTCCAATGCTTACGTCGATTGTCCGTCCAAAAATGTCCAAGCCAGCCATTTGTCCAAAGATGTCCGACACCTACGCAATAGTTTACACTCAACACTGTTATTTAATTTACTTTTCATGTACCGTTACAAGCTCAAAAGTGTTAATCATATCGAAAGCTGAGCTTTCTAATAGCCAATCAATGTTAACACGACTACTTTTTAAAAATGTTGAGGTGTAGCAAGCGATTGTCCAAAGTTGTCCAAAGCCTGCTGCCATTGTCCAACCGAATTCCGAATTGGACATTGGACAAAATCGGAATTCCGAAGATTCAAGTTCCGATTGACACCACTAATGTTCATTGTTCCGAAAAAAAAACGAAGCTTCAACGGTGGCAAACGGGCTAAACAGTGTTTTTATAGGCGAGTGTGCAGCGAGCAGTGATGGAGCTCGAAGTAAACTTCATTGAATCCCTTTGGCTTTTGCAGCCTGCAATGGTCGAAGTCGACTCTAGCGAGGCCTTCACGATTGACGGCTGACCGACAGGCCCACAGTGCAGGACACGATGGACAAACCCGCCGGTATTTGGCTCCAGCCTGGATTACACCTACTCTGTTAGTCAGAGATTCGACAGGCCAACCACACGGCCATTCATCAGCTCATGTATGCCTAATGGCTTCGTGCACTTGCGGGTTTCGCTTGGAGGTCAGCAGGCAACAGCCACCAAGGTCGTCTCAAGAAATACTCAATGAAAACTTAGGTATCACGCATCCATGAATGTAAATGGAATGATGATTCAATTCGTGAGAAAATTCAATTCTTACACAGTGTGTCCAAATTGGTTTAGCGTTAGGGGGAGGATGTATAAAAAAGTCCTATGAGGATGTCGCTATTTTCAAAAAAACTCGTCTTCAGTGTCATTTTAGGTGCAGTTTTTACAAGTTATGTGGAAAAACTATACCTGACGTCAAGGCGTCAAGCTCTGGTGGAAAGTAAAAAAAAAAAAAATCAAATATTGTCATCAAAGATGTTTTTAAAAAAAACATTGCATGCGCGACAGTACGAGTATGACGGTGCGAATCGTACATTGGAACATTTTTAGTCTTTATTGCTACACTAGGTATGCACTTTCACAACAAAAACGTTGTGATGATGTAATTTCTAAATTTCTAAGGATGTCATTATACTTTTCATTGGGGGTGACTTTTCCCGCAACATTACCAATTTGGCCACACTGTTCTTATACTGTTTAATTGTTTTTAGCTTGACTTCGCCTGTCAGTGGGGCTTGACCCTGTTGGTGATTTTGGTAGATAAACAAATAAACAAATAAACAAAATTGGTGGGATGGCTTTGTTGAAAGCTGGATCTGTTGTCCCGTAGAAACGTTAAGTGAGTGCTAAGAGCATTTTCCGGACAGCATATTTCTTCCCAGATTTACACACTGCCATCCGTAATCAAACAATGCTATCTGCTATCTAGTTAATCGTTATCCTCCTCAGTCCTCAGGATCTCCTCACCGCGCACACACCGGCTCCTCGGAGGTGACATACATGCTACATGAAATCTCTCCACTGATAAGCATTGGACATCAAGCGGTACCAGCCACTGCACTTGAACAGGACGACCTCACAGACGTCCTTACACCGACCATGCCAAGGGTGGCAATGTAGCAGACCGGCTAATTTGACCAGACAATGTCAGCATTACTTTTCTAGCTACCTGGGTCAGACGTTTCTTAACTTTGCTGGCTACCTGAACCGGACAACGTCCCCTCACCAATTACCCGCGCGAGCTCCTACCACTATCACGACAGCTACGCTCGCTGCGTCTGCTGCCATTGTCCACCGTGACGACCACCGGTCACGGTTCCGTAAACCCGTGCCTCCCCGTGACCCGTGCCGTGACGCGCCGGTCCGGCAGGCTGCGAACCCGTGTCCTCGGACTATCAGTCGGTATCTAATCAGCGCCGTGTCGCTGACAGCTCGTCGACAATGGCCGACGTTCGTTCGGCTCGCCGCGATACGACCCAGCTCTGCTGCTAGTGTTGCGAAGTTTAGGGGCGAACTGACGGGTGGGCGGAAGCCACGCCTTTCCCTGGTGTTCATAGACGACCCGTGAACTTCAGCTGTGAGTGTTATAATTGATTGTGGTGAATATAAAGAGGAAATAGCTCGAAGGTATTCCGATATTGGATTGCGCAGCGTGGCGGCTGGCGGCGCACGACAAGTGAAGTTGGTGATTGACGTCGGTCCATACTGATGATGCTCCCGTGTGGTCACTTGTGAAAATCTTCAGTGGTGGTCTCGTGCGGCAGATTGAAAATGAGCCAGTGAAGTGACAGAGTGTGTTTCTAACTCATAGACAAGCGGTTCAGACCTATGGTGAGCCAGTGAATTTCGTTAACCTGAGACGGAGCAAAATCGTCTGACAACAGCCCCAGATGGGCGAACGCCGAGCGTTCTAGACAAATCGGTCCTGTAGTGAAGTGCAGCCTGAAGTGACGTTCCGTTCATATGTGGAGCTGCCTGGATGCCCTAGTGGGCCCAGGATTATACAATAGTGTGGTGCGTTTGCAAGTCGCGAACCCCAGGTCCTGAACATTACACCGGAACCAGGGCGGTCCTTGCGGCCTCACACAGCAACTAGATGTGGTCCCTCTCCAAACGGTTCCGCAAAATGTCGCCTTCCGCCGTCGAATCAGAGGAAAAGGAGGTAAGAGACGGAATGAGAAAGAGAGAGAGAGAGAGAAAGTGTGAGATACATAGAGAGAGAGAGAGAGAGAGAGAGAGAGAGAGAGAGAGAGAGAGAGAAAGAAAGAGAGAGAGAGAGAGAGAGAGACAGAGAGAGAGACAGAGAGAGAGACAGAGAGAGACAGAGAGAGACAGAGAGAGACAGAGAGAGACAGAGAGAGAGAGAGAGAGAGAGAGAGAGAGACAGAGAGAGACAGAGAGAGAGAGAGAGAGACAGAGGGAGACAGAGAGAGACAGAGAGAGAGAGAGAGAGAGAGACAGAGAGAGACAGAGAGAGAGAGAGAGAGAAAGAGAAAGAGAGAGAGAGAAGAGAGAGAGAGAGAGAGAGAGAGAGAGAGAGAGAGAGAGAGAGAGAGAGAGAGAGAGAGAGAGAGAGAGAGAGAGAGAGAGATCGTTCTGACCAGGTACCGAGGTCTGCATGTGTATTAAGTTTCAATGACTTGCGTTTCTTCTCTAGGATGCGCGTCGCTTCCTCTAATCTGTGGTGATATGACACCTTCACACACGTCATGTTTCTGTTTCAGTGTAGTCGTCTGCGAGCAATCTGGATTACTTAAAATGATAAGATATTTGGCCATCCCAAAGCATTGCACATCATTGTAGATTGTGGTATGTATTTGAACCGTCAAAATGTCTGCGCGTCAAAACGAATCTCCTACTCACCCACTGTCATTTTTCGCTTCAGAATCTCGACCCTGAAGTGATCTTCACCAGAGAGCGCAAGATCGGCAAGGGGGCGTTCGGAGAGGTGTTTAAAGGCATTGACAACCGAACTGGCCGGGTGAGTGCGGAAACTACTGAATTTGAGCTCAACTACAGACATCTAATACGAATTCGAGGTAAAGAGAGGAATCTGAGCCTCAGCAGGTCCCTTCCCTGCTCTCCCTCCGCCGGGTTGTGACCATCTACCAATAAATCCTCATCTCCATGTCACGAGAACTGTGAAAACGAACTATTGTTTGTTACCAAGGCTGCATTCATCGGTCGGGCACAAGACACTATCTCCATTATCTTCTGCCTTTTAAGTCCAATCGATATAAGTAATTTAGGGTGTGTCGATAGTCGCAGATTCGCGTTAGACAAAGATATAAAGTGGCGCGAGCATGCCAAAACACTAGCACTGCAGTTGGTTTTGCGTAAAAATGCGATTTGACGAGGCTCGGGCAGGTCAAAGTTACAGCGAAGAAGTCGCAGTCGACGGTGCTGCCACCTACATTGCCAATAACGGGCACTATCATATCGTGATAATTGGGGTAGTTTCAAATGAGAAATGACTTCTATTTTTGTTCAAACTGCTTAAGAAGAAATAAAACAACTCGGAAACATACATTTTCCCAAATATCGCGTTCCATTTTTTCCTGTTGAGTTGTTAGGAAAGTGGTAAATTTCAAGGTTGACGGCTAAAAAACGAAACAGGAGGAACAAAGCAGGAATCACCAAGACGTGTACCGCGCCGATGCTGTAGATAAGGGGTGAGCAACAGAACCAGCATACCTAACGATTTTGATTAGTGATAGATATTTTTCTCTAAATGTAAGACTATTAGTAACTCAGGCAAGCCTTCTAATATAGGTATCGACAGGGTTACGGTAAAAGGTACAATCGATGGCACATTACAATTATTCTGAGTTGGGTAACAACATTCTTCAGATACCTACCATCAACAACCTCACTATCTCCTATATGGGAGCTATATCATCTGATTCCAGCGCCCTGAAAACAAACAGGTTATTACCAAAAATCTCTGTATTAGCGCCTACCGACATATGCTGAATGACGCTATCAATACCAGACATTTGTAAAAAAAAAGGCGATTCGCCACACAGCCCGCCGGCGTCTGAGGCCGCATAGACCCGGGAACAGGGGGGGGGGGCAGCGGGGGCGCTTGCCCCCCCCCCCAACTTGGGAGCCGAGGGGGCGGCGCCCCCTCAACATTGAGGCAGCGAGAAAAGGTCTTTCCTCCCTTTTCCGGACTTCTTTCCTTCTTGTTTCCTTTATACATCTAAACATCAACACGCGGCATTTTCCTTGCCATCTGAATGGTTTCTGCTGATAAAGTATCGATTTGACAACATCTGCTATTGTCATCCCGCTTTGATTTGGGCCTGACCTTGGCCATAAGCTTGGCAGGCCAGTTTTATACTGGACCATTTTGAGTCAACTTTGAGAAATGCATAACGTACAACGGTGATAAAATCGTTGCTATAGGTATAACACAGTTTACCCGCTCCGGGTGTGAGGGAGGGGTGTTGGGCAATGAGTGCACTGACGTGGCGCCCTCGGTATGGGATGGGATGCACGGGATACATTAGAGGGCCGGTATGGGATTAAGGCTCAGCGACACTAAGGGCTTATGTGGTGCCTTCGGTTATCGGCAGCACCCTCAGAATCACCGGCATAGGGCGCTCAGAGCCGCCGGTAAGGGGCCTTTAGAGGCACCGGTGTGGGGCCGTCATGCAGGTGCCGGTGTGGGCGCTCAGAGGTGCTAGTGTGATTCTCTCAGAGGCGCCGATGAGGGTCCTTACAGGCGTTGCTGTGGGCCCTCATAGACGCTGGTGTGGAGCCGTTACAGACGGGTGTGGGGGCTTTAGAGCTGCTGACGCGAACTCTCTACAAGCCGGCAGGCGGTCTCAGTGACCGGCAAGGGGTCCTTAGGCCGCCAGAAGAAGTCCTGTGGGGTCCTTAGAGACCGGCATGGTACTGTCAGACGCCGGTGGGGCCCTCAGACTCACCGGTGTGGGACCCTCAAAAGTCACCAGTGGGTGGCCTTCAGATGCACAGGTGTTGGTTGGGTCCTCAGAGCCGCCGATACAGGGCTTAATTTTAATAGGCACTGGTGTAGGCACTCAGAGTTGGGGGTGTGAAACCCTCAGACACCGGTGTGGGCCCTCATAGGCGCCGATGAGGGCCCCACAGTTGCCGTTATGGGGCCCTCAGAAAAATAAGTGTGGGACCATCACACCTGCGGGAAATGCCCCTAGAACTGGCCCCTCATAGGCCGGTAAGGACTCTCAGAGGCCAGTAACGGGCCTTTGGAGACCACCGAGGTGCCCTGAAAAGGCGCAAGAGGCGCTCAGAAGCCGGCGTGGGCCCTTATGGAGATCTTAGTGTGGCTATTTAGGGCCCATGAGGTGCTCTAACGAGCCCCATGGGGCGTCAGCGGTTTGACCTTCAGCGGTCAAATGGCGCCGCAGGGCCCCTCGGACCCGAAGGTCCCTTTGAACCCGATGGGGGGGGGGGTACGTATCCCCTTAGACCCCTAGCTACGCCACTGTTTCATATGCATCATGTCAGGTATTTTAGGCTCGCCCCCCCCCCACTTGAAAATCGTTCCCGGGCCCCTGTCTGAGGGGTTGAATCAGTGAGCCAGATTGCCAGCGACTCACCGCTGAACTACCGGGCATAACAAAACGGACGATGCGACATGACTCAGAGATCATCACAGACGCAACGACAAATGTAACCGAAGGCCATCTGAGCTCGTGCGGAACCCTCGTTCAGATACGTAATATCGCTATCTGCCACCTCGCAGTTCCCTTGTCAAGCCGAACTCATAGGCGGCGGAACGGGGAGGGCACCGCGGCACCGTGCCCCCTTTGATTGACATTTTAACATTAGCCCTATGGGCGTTGCATGGAAAGAATGGGAACTGATTCAACCCCTCAGACGCCGGCGGGCTGTGAGGCGAATCACCTTTTACAAATGTGGGGTATTAATAGCGTCATTCAGCATATGTCGGTAGGCGCTAATACAGAGATTTTTGGTGATAACCTGTTTGTTTTCAAGGCGCTGGAATCAGATGATATAGCTCCCATATAGGAGATAGTGAGGTTGTTGATGGTAGGTATCTGAAGAGTGTTGTTTCCCAACTCAGAATAATTGTAATGTGCCATCGATTGTACCTTTTACCGCAACCCTGTCGATACCTATATTAGAAGGCTTGCCTGAGCTAATGGTCTTTCATTTAGAGAAAAAAGTCCTTCACTTATTAAAATCGTTAGGCATGCTGGTTCTGTTGCTCACCCCTTATCTACAGGCTACAGCATCGGCGCGGCACACGTCTTGGTGATTCCTGCTCTGTTCCTCCTGTTTCGTTTTTTAGCCGTCAACCTTGAAATTTACCACTTTCCAAACAACTCAACAGGAAAAAATGGAACGCGATATTTGGGAAAAATGTATGTTTCCGAATTGTTTTATTTCTTCTTAAGCAGTTTGAACAAAAATAGAAGTCATTTCTCATTTGAAACTACCCCAATTATCACGATATGATAGTGCCCGTTATTGGCAATGTAGGTGGCAGCACCGTCGACTGCGACTTTTTCGCTGTAACTTCGACCTGCCCGAGCCTCGTCAAATCGCATTTTTACGCAAAACCAACTGCAGGGCTAGTGTTTTGGCATGCTCGCGCCACTGTATATCTTTGTCTAACGCGAATCTGTGAGAAAAACCCCTCTGTCGACACACCCTAATAAGTATGAAAAGCAAAGGGGTTTAGACATGAGTGGGGGTCTTTCCAACTGAGGACGTCGAATTTGATGCCGCGCTGAAAAAAAATAGATACCTACCTATGTGTGACAGTGGCAACTATCGATATTATATTCACGGTACACTATACAAAACGTTTCTTTTTATCGGGACACTAAACCACAACCCATATCTCAATGGCTCATGTCCTACGTAACTTCTGTATTGTTTTATGGCGTTACTTCATGATAAAAGTCAGTGTTATGACGCCTTTCAATAGTGCCGCGTTCGTTACAAGTCAATACTTGGAGAATACAGTAAACTTAGTAGGTACGATACATATTGCAAAACGAATTATAGCTTTAGAATGCTTGATAGGAAAACGTTTGATGTATAGGTTATTATCTTCCCAAACTGGCCTGGCATCGATGCGACTGGTTTGTTCTGAACATTGTTGCAAATTACAAGAGAAAATAAAAGTTATTTCCTGGACTTTTTGGAGGGTCAATTAATAAGTTGCGAAAGGATGCTTATAACACCATACATGGCGGTTGAAACAATATGACCATGGGACTTGAACTAAAACCCGCATGGGGTGTAGGTATGTCGGTTATTGAGCTCAGATAAATGATACTTTGGATCTTGTTGCTGCTCGTTTCTACACTCTTATTGTGCGTTTTCTCGACGAACGTTCTTTGCATCATTTTAGACGATTTTTTTTAAGACGATCGTCTTACATGTAGGGCTAGTTAAATCCTATCAGACGCATGCATAGGAAAACTGGGAAAATGTGTTATTGTAAGGAAAATTTACATTTTAGCGATGATTCATGATTTCGTGTTATGGATAGTAGACATTCTGTCCGTTCGTATGTTTTTGTTTGTTTGTTATGTGACATATGACAACATTGTCGAAACACATAGACATTCGTGACCATTAGTTTACGTCGTTATAGTGACTCTGTAGGTGACGCTGGCCCTCCAATCTCTCAGGTTGTTGCCATCAAGATCATGGACCTGGAGGAGGCGGAGGACGAGATCGACGACATCCAGCAGGAGATCACGGTGTTGTCACAGTGCGACTCGCCGTACGTCACCAAATACTTCGGTTCCTACCTGAAGGTCAGACCGGCGACAGCCCTTACTTCAATTGTGCGATATGTACTGAGCTGTTTGCTTACATGGGATTAAAACCTGACTTTTTTGGGCAGGTATATGTGGCTAGAAAGTAATAACAAAGGTTCAAATTTGAACAATTCTTTTGAAATAATAAATATGATTGATAATGTTTCCGTTGTACGACACGAGTATAAGTGAGATGCAAAAGAGATAAAAAACGATGATTACTTTACAGGTTATTTCGCTAACTTTAAATTCCATATTTAGTCAGGCCTATGATCTCACTTTCAGAGGATACATAGCATGATTAATGGATAATGTTTGCACAAGAGTAATGAACTATTCAAAATAAGAGGTAAATATCAAATAACTATATACCAAATATACCAATAACGATAAGCATTTAATTTGCCTGGTATACAAAGCGACTATACAAGGAGGAAAGGCCTACTTCTGGACTTGCAGAAAAAAAGAAACATATTGAGCATCCTTGACCGTTTATCCTGCTGTCTAAGATGCGATAAAGATAATTCCTATCTATGCTCGTCTGCAGGGCACCAAGCTATGGATCATTATGGAGTATCTCGGGGGTGGATCTGCCCATGACCTAATGAAGCCGGGAGTTTTGGAAGAAACGTATATCGCCATTATTCTGAGAGAGGTCATCAAGGGGCTGGAATACCTCGACTCGGAACGGATACTTCACCGAGATATTAAAGGTGTGTACTGTGTAGTTTATGTAGGTTTTGGTTGCCATTATATTTTTCAGCCGTAGCCGGTCAGTCGTAGCGGGTTGGTTACTGTGTGGGCGGTTATGTCGAGTCTCAACTGCTGCAAGTACAGTAAATAATTTAAATTATTTAATTTTAACTGCTAAATCATTCCAATGCTAACTAATATTTTCTGCGAGCAATTTATTCAACCTATTGTCTAAAATAATGGCTTCATGCTTTAACCTGTATTTACGCCCATTTTGTATGGCGGTATGATGTGACATCGGATTTCATAGATGGCGGATTTTGTTAAGCTTCGTTCTGTGCCACGAATCTTTCCTCCCCAGCGGCCAACATCCTGCTGTCGGAGTCGGGCGACGTGAAGCTGGCCGATTTCGGCGTGGCTGGTCAGCTGAGCAGCGATACCGTGAAGCGGCACACCTTCGTGGGCACCCCCTTCTGGATGGCGCCCGAGGTCATCCAGCAGGCCGCCTACGACTCCAAGGTGGGCATAGAATGTAGTGGTTCGAAGGATACAGAGAATATTGTCATGTAGAACGCTCTGTACTGTATAGGTACACATATGACATTTGCGAGGTACGCGTATAGGTGAAAATAGCCACATTCCATATTCCAAAGGCCTGGTAAATTTTGACGGCGCTTACGTTCTCACAGGCGGATATCTGGTCGCTAGGGATCACAGCCATCGAGCTGGCCAACGGCGAGCCACCCTTCTCCGACCTCCACCCGATGCGGGCGCTCTTCCTGATCCCCAAGAGCCCGGCGCCGCAGCTGCAGGGCGACTTCACCAGGCCCTTCAAGGAGTTCGTCGAGGCGTGCCTCAATAAGGACCCCGAACACGTGAGTTAATTATCAGCCTGCTAGGGATGTGATGCTTGGCCTTTATTTTCACGGTGCGGGTGTTATGTATCCAAAACTGTAATTTGTGCTGTAATGTTATGTCAATTATAGCAGACCTAGATATCCATAGTTGATTGTTATTTCATACCCTGATTCGTCATAATAAAGAAAAGATCTTGTTACTGCCGTTTTACGTGCAAAAAAAAAATCAACAATCCTAGTTCAGCGACGCAGAGTGAGTACTTAGGTACCCCGCCCTGCGTAACTGAGCGACATTACTGTCGATAGATGGCAGCACTATAGAACGCCTGAACGATGCTGTGCCGCAAGACATTAAATCCAGATCGCCGCACTAACGCGTAGCATTCGGAAGGGAGAGAGAGAGAGAAAAAAAAGAATGTTGGCATAACACGAGTTATAAAGGGGAGTAGAAGCTTGCCGTTCGATTGGAAAATATATCTTTGTATGCTATTTGGTGGTGGAAATATTTGAAAGCAAAAACTCGGAGCGTATGTACAGCCCTCAGCAGACTGCGTGGTAGGTATTCTTTTTTCGACAAAACCGGTAATAACTCAAAGATCATGTTATCAGTCGGTCGGAACTCACTGCAAGTAGAGGCACCATGCTCCACTCCTTCGATTGGGTCTATCACTAAACAAACTATATGCCTTGTGTGGCAACAAAATGCAAAAGTTTGTTTTCGGGGCAAATATAAACTTTTGGATTTTGTTGCCAAATTGCATGGAAAAGGAGTACGATGGTAATGCCAATCTAAGGTGCGGAGTCTCGCACGTTTTGCTGTTACGATTTCGGAGTGACCGATAGCATAGTATCCGCGTTATTCTCGGTTTTGTGGAAAAAAGAATACCTACCACGCAGTTTGCAGAGGGCTGTACCTAGAACTCGGGACTAATCCACGCGGGCTCAGGATTAATCCATTCCCTTCCGTTGTCACATATCCCTGTTTCGGCTTACGGGATCAATGTCATCCTGACCGGCAACCATGGTGAAAGTCCGGTTTGATAGAAGCGCATCCCACTGCTTCTGGATGACCCAGCGTGGCTGGGTGACCCGTCTCAGGAGTCAGGCAACGGGCTCAGCCGCGGAGCACCAACCGACGGTCGACTCAGCTCAATGTCACTGCTTTGTCATTTTATTACAATGCCCTGCATTGGTCTCAAAACACCAAAAGGAACCTAGATAGATTACAAAACAAACAAGCAAATAAATAAATAAATAAATAGATAAAAAAATAAATAATCAACAGATGAACAAACAAAAAGCTATCAGGGGCTGCAGGGGTCGGCCAAAATCAGAAAACACGAATATTTCTACATCATTTCATTAAACATGCATACAGCATAACATTCAGACTTTCAGAGATGCTTTCCAAACCAAATTTTATTAGATTCTATGTTGTTTGTGCTCGACCAGTGACAATATCTTGTATCGTGTGTTCCCAGCGCCCGTCGGCTTCTGAGCTGCTCCGCCACCCGTTCATCAAGAAGGCTCGGCGGACGGTGTGTCTGACAGAACTGGTGGATCGGTACAGACAGTGGAAACAGACGGCGCCCGACTCCGACAGCGAGGCCGACACCCAGTCCATCGGCCAGTCAGAGTGAGTGCCGAGTGGGTTAGAGAGTCTGTGAGTCGGCCAATCAGAGTGGGTCAGAGTCAGAATGAGTCACGGCGCTACAAGTCAGAGCTGAGACGAACCGCAGCTAATTAATACACATAATTAAATGTCAGTGCGGCTCAGACGAAAGTCAGCGTTCGACTTATGTGCTTATCTGAGTTGGAGAGACTTGGGGGGGGGGGGGGGGGTAACGAGGCATTGATTGGTGATGCCAGACCAAAGTTTTATTTTCCCGGGAAGCTGTACCCTCGCGACCTGACTCTGTCCAACACAAACATTCATTCAATGACATCAGTCAGGTCAGTCATTTGATGTCCAATGACCTGTTTCAGGGACGAGCTGTCGATTGACCTGGACCTGGACGAGCCGTGGTGTCACACGGTGGTCGGACCGGCGCCCCACCGCCCCGCTCCGCCTCCGCCGCCGCCCAGGGAGCACACCCGCAGCCAGGTGCTGCAGAGCGCCATCTATCCGCTGCTGGCTGAGGTTAGTGCTGCCAGTAGCGTGCAAGTGAACAAACTTGTCTAAATAGCATAGCAAAGCACTTCTCCGGTCGGTAGGATCGCGATAATGACTGATGAGACGCCGTAATCGTCTCTTTTATTGATGACGATTTTTGACAGCCCCTTTTATGTCGGAGTCTACCGGTTCACCTGTCCACGTGTCAGTGGCTGATGGATCTTTCCCAAACCTGCCGCGCCCCTCTCACCGCCCTCAGGGCTCTCTCTAACCCTCAAGGCCCCTCTCGCCGGCCCCAGGGACCTCTCTGTGACCCCTCACACCGCTCTCTCTCCGTTCCCAGCTGCAGCGTCGCCACCGGAGCCGCCTGCCGCCGCCGGGACGCACCTCCTTCTCCGGCCGCGGGGACGAGGTCGAGGAACTTCGCACCGCCTTCGAGCAGGCCGAGCGCGAGTCAGCCGGAGTGTCGGACCGGTTGGTGCAGCGGCTGCTACAGAAGCTGGTGCCCTCCGCCAGTCAGCAGCAGCTGCGCGCCAGCTTCCAGCGGCTGGTGCGGTGAGCGACGCAGCTGTTGGTGCTTGAAGCTGTTGGTGTTGGTCTCTCGGTGGCTGATCACAGCACCGTCTGGACTCCTGACAGTGCTGTCTTGCCCGGGAAGCACAGCGTACGGTGAGCACGGTATCCGAGTTTGCAGCCATGGTGGACCTCAGGTCTAGCCTCCCCCGCGGGACTGCGGAGTGCGCAGTCATTCTTGAGAATGAGCCTTTGGATGTAAGGTAACGCTACTGAGTGAAAATGAGCCGGGACCAGTGCATATGGCTGAGTTCAATAGCACGGCCTTACGGTGACAAGAGGCCGAAGCCTGTCAGGCCGTCTGGCACCGACAAATGTAGCTAGCAGGACGCCAATGGCCAAGTTGTTGAGTTCTCTATCCTTAGTTGATGCCTTGATAACTTGTGCATCGAATATTCATACCACATAACATTTGCTTTCCTTAGCGTGGTCATGATAAGGAATATTGATTGATCCTGATGAGATCGTGGCATGCTTGATCATAAACTAGTCCGCTTTTAATTCGATGTATTCAGCTATTGCTATTGTTCCCTCGCCGCGTTGTGCTGTTGCGTTCAGGCGTCAGCGGCTAGCACTTGTGCTTCGGCAGAGGTGTTGTGAATGTGTACTATGTACTGGGCTTCTCCCTTCCATACAAAGATGCACGAGGAAGGGTTGGTCTGTGATTACTCGGTGTCTTGTAGCACAAGTTTACGGTTGAAACCGAGCAGCACGAATGGCGTCTACTGCTTTGCCCAACTTTGGACTTTTGATTAGTCCCATACTGGTGACCATAGCGCTTAGCCGCTTAGGGTGGGTCATGAGCCACCCGCCACACACGGTTTTGTGCTCAGTTTGTCCGAATTCGATGACAAGCATCTGTTGATTTTACAGTCGTGACTATCCAGATTATATCACGGAGGTTGGTACCCGATGCGAGGTATGATTGTATGTAAATGGGCCATTGTCCGGCGCTTTCTGCATTGTTACGCATTAAAGTCAGCAGGAGCTTTTCGACGTGCAAACGTCGCTCACTGTGCAGTGCACAGCCATTGCTGAGATGTCAATAAACGTTCACTGTTCAATGCTGTTCTGACTGCCGCTGCTGTAGATCCATTCCTAACTGGGCTGATTGACTTCACAATAATAACGCTCATAGAAACGTGATGAAAGCCAGACTTAAAATAACCAATTTTGTCAATCACTTCCGTCCAAGCCAACAAGTTCAGTGGTTTTGTTGAAGGGTTTTCGTTCAAAACAACAAATCATTGTTCGTGAGTTAGTCACGGAATTCCGACGAGACGGTACACGGAATATAGTCATTCTCCATACCACGCCACGAATGCCAGTGTGTGACAGTGTATGTATATTGGATGCTCCGTCATCACACTAGGTATGTTCGGAATAGCACAATCAGAAGAACAAGCGAGTCGGCAACAACATGCACATAGCGCACAGCAGGCGGTCTCTTCAGTACAAACGGCTCCAAGCGGTACATTGCCGGGGGCGCCCCGTCTCAGTTACAAGCGTACGCGCACGTGCAACACACTTAACCACAGTGTCTACGGCTAAATTATCAAAAGGCGGCTCGGACAGGCGACCCACACGAAGCCGAACTAACGAATACAAAATAGTGCTGTGTCGTCCGTCCGTCCCGGCCAGGCAGCGGAGTGCTGCCTTCGAGCGGGCGGCCGACCATCGGAAAACCAGTCCCGTACGAAAAATAATCCATACTAGCCATGCGCCGCGCGGTTCGTAGGCCCACTGAGTGGTGAGCAGGCTGGCGGTACGGCCGACGGCGGCTGGCGGGCCGCACCGACCCCGGAGGGTCTCAGACGCACACAGACACGCACACACGCGGAGCGCCCGCATGTTGACACCCTCCTGCGGCTGTCGGATCGGCGCCGTGTCACCGAGCGGGTGACACCCGACACCGTCTCAGCCGCCGGCGGGCGCCGATAGACTCCGGGCATCCGACCCGTGCCGCCGCCACAGACCGGCCACACGGCGGGCAGAAGCGCCGCCGGCCGCCGCACGGCGGTCCCGTCCGACTCTGACGTCACCTCACGTCACATTCTGACGTCATACCCCGTGCGCGTCCGCCACTACAACAGCTGGCACTTGCACTTCCAGCACTTGGTGGGCTCCTTGACCTCTTCGTGGTTACCCCGTGTCAGTTCCGCCTTTCTTGCCGATATCTTCCGCATCAGGTCGAAGAAACACTGCAAAAAGGCGGCGTTAGACATCTCGAGAATCACGAGACAGCACAATCCCAAACAAAGACAGCACGGTACGTTATTTGAGAGCACGCAGACAGTCATGTGTTTATCTGCAGCTTGTCTCAGTGGAGTGTTGCGGGTGTTGGACCCTAGTCTCAAAATCATTTACTCAGTGGCATAGATCGAGTAAGTGATCTTTGATTTTGGGCCGTGTTCCATGTGAACCGACGATGCCAATTCGATTAGAAATAATTCATCGGGTCTAAGTCCTGCTGTTTAAAAGAGCTTAGTGATTAACATGTCCTCTATAAATTTCCTACAAGTGACCTTCCTCTCGGTACTCACCTTGTCCACGTTGTGGCGAGTCTTTGCCGAGGTCTCCACATAGGGTACGCCCCACTGGGAGGCGCGAGCGCCGGCTTCCGCGTGTGCCACGCGCCGCCGCTCCTCCAGGTCACACTTGTTACCGACCAGTAGCAGAGGGATGGTCTCGTCGTCTTTGACACGTAAAATCTGCTCCCTGTGCGGTCACCGGCCGGTAGAATGGTTATAGAGGGGCGACACAGCGGCTATTAGTGGTCTGCACCACAGGAGGCCGGTAGGAATACAGTAGCCAGTGTGGCAGTCACGTCACTAACCAGAGCACAACATTGGATGCATTGTATAAGGTACAGGTATATTTGGATTCCTTGTGTTGAGACTTGAGGATGGCATTGTGTGCAGTTAATACATGGGAATTACAAATACACGGATGCTCGTGCCGAGAAACAGCCGTTATGAAGCCGCACCTACAACTGGAGGGCGGCATCACCCGGGCTAACGTATTCGTCCCGCACCGCCTCATATGCTAATACGGGTAGGCGCGTCTCCATTGTAAAACGGCGACACGCGGGATCCTGGGCTGGCCCGAAGCTGGTATCGAGCGTGTAAAAGGCGGCCTCTAAACAGGTAGCTGGGCTGTGGGATTCCATTCAAGTTCGGGCTTTGGTCAGCTAAATAATGCGGAGTTCATTTCATTAAAAAAATGTGTGATAACTTAAGACTTCTCCACCTGTGAAACAAAACGATGAATCCCTCAGACAAAAAACAAGGGCAGGGCGCGACAAATGAATGTGACAAGTGAAAGTGCACTTCAGGCGGTAATATGATCACCATAACTGAATAATTATGCCAGATCAGCGGCGTCATACATGAGGTGTTTGGCATGAAGTGGGAAGACCGGAACGCAGAACGAAATATGCATTAGCGTAGAAATTCTATAAATACCCTATGTCTGACAGGAAGCCACTCGAATTGAGCTAGATACCCATAATAAGCAGCATTTGCTAGACGACGCATAAAGCTTGTGTAAAAAATGGGTGATGTAACAAGAAAACAATGGATAGAAAAGATAATTAGAAACCGTGGCACAAGTGCACGAAACATTCAGTAAACGGACAGGAAAGCGTCCAGCGTGTGACTTTGGATTGAACGAATAACAAATGAGAAATAGAATCGCAAGATGTACACCATTAGGACATAAACAGATAGCAAAAACCCGGGACTTTCTTAAAGATTGCGTTGCCGGCCGGGGGATCGATGAGCCACCAGTATCGGACAACAAACGGCAGCGTCGGGCTACTTTCCCGTTCTGTCGGCCGCCAGTTCCCAGAAGCTCTGAGTCAGTTCGGCACCGCCCGCCGGAGCCGCCGCGTCACCACAGCGGCTCACAGAGCAGCACCAGCTCACAGTGACGTAACAGAGCGAGCTGCACAGTGCACAACAGCGGCCAGCCTGCCCTTGAGCCGCACATAGGCACCCGGAAACTGTCCAACTCGGGAAGGAGCCTGCGCTCTGCTGTCTTCCACGGCGTCTCTACGGCGGCCGATTTTCCCGGTCACGGTGCATGGATCAGCTGTGAGCCGGATACCGCAGCATTCAGCGGCCGTGCCAGACCGGATGGGCCGAGATCGGACGATAGAAATTATGCAATTTACAATAAAATGGGTGAAGGGCAATGCATTTGACGAAGCCAATGCATTGCATATCAAATGCCAATTTTTGAAAACTAACACTTATAAAACAGTTTCACAATACTCTTTCTAAACCAAACGCTGCACATTTACCTTTTACTCTTCAACGCTAGGCATTCAGTCTGCATGAGATTTCAACGTCGGCGTTGCTGACATATTTCGTGTTATGCAAGGTGTCCACAATGCACGAAACGGTACCTGGCTACACGTTATGAACAAAATTAAGCCCGGAAGTAGATGCATACCTGAACTTCGCGGTGGCCAGAATAAAAAACAATAGGGAGAGGATGGTAGGCTGCAGTAGGCAGTAGGTACAGTCCACAGCAGAAGTAATGTGTGGTTTCAGTCATGGGTATGTTCTGCTTCTGAAGCCTAGGAACGATTAGCCAGACTGCAACGAGACTTTAAATGTAGCTTACATGTAATTTCACCCTTTCAGCTACAACTTTATCTATTGACGTCTTCTTTTCAATCAGTCCGCATTTAAAAATCGTCGGTCAAAGCCATCCGTTGAGATTGGTAAAACCACACATTACTTTAGCGGTGGGCTGTACGTCCTTGAACCCCTCCGTGGAATGGAAAAGTCAGAAGGCAGCAATCAGTACGCAGCAGGCGTTAGGCACGTACCTGAACTCCTGCGTAGCCTGGAAGCTCTCGTCCTCCGTTATAGAGAAGACGCAGAGGAAGCCCTCGCCACTCCGGAAGTAATTGTCCCTGGAAACGACAAAACGGTACGATTAGCTAACAACTCCATTTAAACACACGGGTCTTGAGCTATACCGTCCACACGCACTCAGACTAGCGCTGCACAAACACTGACTCAAAGCAGTGCTGTGGACGAATTACTGGCGAGGTTGGGAACACAATCATACCCCTCCCCTACCCTCCCGTCTAACGGGCTGGCGAACGCCGCCGGAAGTGAAACAGGCTTTTCAAATGATAATCCAGTTGGGGGACAGGGTAATAATGGCCAAAAGAGGTGCACGTTCTTTGGAACCGATGGTGGACATCAGATATCCGAAACGTCAGTACGTTCCCACTCATGTGCTTTATTACTCCAGTGTATCTAAGCATGCATCGTCTGAAGCTCCGGTGCACCATCGGGCCTCTGACCTCTACATGATATAAGATCTCTTGGCTTCTTGTAAAATTTCGACCAAATATTTCTTGAACTGAGGTCAGATGTCCACTGTGAGCTACAATTATAGCGTAAATTAGGCGTCGTACGTTCCAAACACCCGTCATAGTAATGTACCGTTTGAAACACTCGTAGCTCCAAAACTATCCCACGACTAATGACCCCAACGATGCTCGACGTTACAGATCGTCCCAGGGCTCTGACGTAACCCCAAACTCCCGTCGTTCGTTCACGTAATGTTGCAATGCAGCTCACTGCAATGTTCTCGAGTTAGCGGCGGGTAAGGTGACGGCACCGTTTAGGACCCAGGGCGGGCGGTGCCGTCAGCAGCAGCGCCGGATGTCGCCATCGCCGGTCCGCGTGTCGCGATCGGCTCAATTGTTGGACGGAATATTGGTGATGCATGACCGAGCTGCGGTCAGCCGAGGCCAGGGCGGGCGGCCCGATCGCACCGGCCGTACCGAGGTCCGTATCAGGAGCCCAGATATCCGACCAACGTATCGCCGATTGGCGGCGATAAGAGAGCCTTCGTGGGTGACCCCACGCAGTCGCGCAATCCACAGAGAGCAGTCGGAACGAGATATAACTGGTGGTTTAGATTAGGTACAGCCGTGATTTGGTCAGTATCAAATACAGACGGTAGTTTTGTCACGGCGCATGACCGGCGCGTGTCTAAACAGGGACGTCGGCTGGTAGCTTCCAGTCTAAACACTGTC